GAACATCTATGCTCTCTAAAACCAAGGAAACTGACAAGAAACTGGCGGTTACGATGATGAACTAAACATGGAAAGCAGAGAAATTTCTGTCGAATAGTTGGGGCACTATCATAGCAAAAATATTTTCAACCGAGCCAGTTTATCAACTGCTTGCATACCTTTGGAGTGGTCTCCAGACCGGCTACCATCAAAATCCATGACGTTGAGGAAGCAACATTGATCAATATAACGCACCACCAACTTCTAAACAATTTAAAAAGAGTCGAAAACGATAAAGGAAACAGAATCATTGGAGATGTCTCCGTATTTCATGGTTTGTCGACCAAACCGAATGATGACATTCTGATATGTCACGAAATGGGTCCCACGCGTTGATTGCCTGGGAGGGAAAGTGTTCAGGTTCTAATAACCGCTTTCCGATTAATGCATTTTGTGATTAAAAGAGGGCTCAAAGAAGATAAATGATGGTCCATGGTTATTTTCGCGAGCGTTTATAGCAATGCCTAATGGTGTCCCTTGTAAAATTCTAGTATCTTCGACCCTCGAAGATTGTTAGCTAAGCCTCCATCACTAGTTCGCACTTCAGTCGTAAAACCAACATGAGACCGGCTATGCGGGGGAAAATGGGTTTGCTTGGACAGCACATGGGCCTGAAGCCATCGCCAGAAGACGCCGACAAGATTGGGAAGTTGATACGCAAGGTCAACGTGTTACAATTAAGGTTGTAGTTTGAATAACCATGAGAAGTTAAGGAAGTATGATTCAACCTTGTGCATTTGAACATTTACCCCAAGGCCTCAAAAGTTCAATGGTCGAACCAACACTCTTCTACTGAAAACGTTCCTTCCAGTCCTGCTCCCTTTTGAGTGTCATATATCAAATCCCCCAGGTCGTTCTATTGCCTAACCTCATATCACTCAGATTTAAAACCGAATTCAATGAATTGAAATCCCAAATATCATTAAAGAAAGATGCTTGCTTTTCAAGAATCAATTTGTGATTCTCGAAAACCTCCTTTAATTCGCGTGATGTCCACAACCCTGCTCGCCTCACAACAACCATTAATGGCTGAAGTGGTACCAAACGTAGACTGTCTCCCTACGTAGGATTCACATCAGAATGGCGACAAGGTGTTAAGGACGAAGAGTTATGGGAACTCAGTTCCCCAGAGCCAACAACATCCCAAAACCATCCTTTTTTTATTCTGAGAATATTCTTATTTTTTCGTCTGATAAAAGAGAGCTCGTGAAATCACCTACGGTGCCTGCTACCTCCTCAACCCCACTACCCTAGGACTCACTTTAAACGCTTCGAAGGATGCTCTGGTGGTATTGTAGAGTTGCATGTACTCCTGGGAATCAGCGAAGTAGCCGTGGGTCTCCCGACTACCAAGTAGTAAGCGGCTCTCTTCTTCTAAGGAATGGAAGTGCAATAAATGACATTAGTCTTGAAGTAACTAGATTAAAAACATTACATCCAACTGAATGAGGAAAAGACTCGGTATTCAAAGTAAGTGGACTTCGTATGAATCTCTGGGGCCCGATTGTTAGTGATAAGAATAAGATCAAGGAATTTCATAAGTTATCCTAGACTATATGAAAAATGGGGATTGGAACCTCCTTGGACACTCATTACTACAAACTAACCTTCCGACTCAGTAGTTTGAACAAATTGTAAGCCGAAAATAGGCCTAGACTTGGCCTGGCTAGTAGTTATTGTTGTAGTAATGACAGAGGACGGAGTGGCAGAGCCACTCCCAATCGGTGCGCTAGTGATTGGAACTGGAGAGGAGGCCGGATTTCCCCCAACAAAACTGGAAAGGATACCGGTGGAAGATGAGGCTGAATTCGGTTTCACTCCCTTGAAGACGTGCCAGAATATTGCAAGCAGTCTGGAAGATCAAGAAAGGGACAACTACTTACGCATGAGTACCGGCAAGCTTATTCACCTTTCCATACATCTGCACAAGTCGGGAAGCTTTCGGAGTTGTGCCACCCTCCAGCTCTCCCGCCTGGCTTGAGGACTCTTAAAATTGTGTCAGAACAGTTATTGCAAAAAGTATACCCATAATGCCACAAAAACTAACATGATGTTATCTTTTATTTCTAGACTGCCAGCGGAAGGTGAGAATGCCCAAATTGATTCCCTATGCAAGATGACAACTCAGTCCCTTACCGCCTACTCATAACTGAATTCAGTAGCGGTATTTCACACGGGATCGAACAGTGAATTCATAAGGTAACGAAAGGGAAAAAAGGAACAAACCTGATGACGTGCTTGAGAAGAGCTCCAGATGCGCGTGTGAAGGCGTGATCTTGATGCAGTTCCATTTTTCCACCAGCTGGAATACTTCCCTCTAGTAGACTGCTAATACCCCAACCTACAAATACCAAATAAAACTACTCAATCACAGCTGCAAACGAAACCCAAATCGTGTTTAGACAGTTTTTGCATTCAATAGCAGCTGACTCAGATTAAAAAGTACAAAATACTAGAGTAGACATAAAAGTGGGTTCATTCAGAGAAAAGGCAGGTCCCCAACCAACGCACCACTTCAGTAAATACGTCAACACACCCATACGCAATGATATTGAGCAGACAAATCTTGACAACTCACGCAGAGCACATCCTGAAGCTAGACAAAGTAGCCGAGCCTGCAAAGCCAGATCAGTTAAGGCAAGAGGTGAAATTGAGAGTTGGGAGATGCAGTGCCACAGAAGGAGGGCCATCTTTGGCCGTCGTTGATAGCGTTGCAAGGCAAAGCGGGAGGGAGAGACCGCCACAGTTTCGCTGTCTACATTTAAAGGTTGTGGCAAGGGGGATGGAGTGTACCATAGGATATGGTTCGATGTTATTGGTGGACTACCAAGCAGTTCGGCCAGACCGAAGATTAACGAGTGCTGAAAAAGAGAACGTTGAGGTAACTACTTGGGATTGGCTACTGTTTGATAACACTCTGAAGGTCTAACCATCATGCTCCGATTCTCCGGACTATCACAGACAGGGGACAACTCCAGAAGACTGTCTACAAGCTCCCGAAACACACGATGCAACCCACGATTGTATCGATTCCGTCGCAGAAGACATCCATGGGAGGATATCGACTTCGATTGCTGGATCATGTACGATGGTGGAGCCGAAAGCCTCAAATACACGGGGAGACCCTTGGCTATGGAACGCAAATCATCTGCAAAACCACTGACAGTGGAAACGCAACTGTCTTGAGCAATAGGAAGGTCACATGCAGTGACATTCTGACCTGCAACAGAATGAGGTGGGTTGACATTTCCTTCCTAAGTCGACAATCTGGCAAAGAATCAAACCTGTGAGAGCCGAATGCACAAAAAGGTGGACAGCAGCAGTGTCGATCGATTCTAAACCAACATCATTCATCTGTGTCCTTTGAAGATCAGCAGATGGAGTGCGTTCGGCAAGGGTAAGGAGGGAACGAAATGCTTCTCGACCGAGGGAACGATCAGCATCAGCGAATAACCTAAGGCATTCGTTCCAAGCAACAACTGATAACGGTGTGGCTTCCACAAGGCGCTGTGAAGTCCCATTTTTATGGTAGCCGAACTGAAAACAAAGTGAGAAATGGAAGTTTGAGGAGTACCGTCTTACCCTATGGTATTCAACGTGTTTCCCCCAATGGCACTTACGCCGACTGCCGGTACTTGTAAAAGGACGCTACAGACAATCAGACAGACACGTACGTACCCAAGCCCGTTCCAAATGTTCCACTTGGTCCCAGTCCAGATCAGAGAATAGAAATAGGGTCTCACGTCGTACAAGCCGGTAAGGGTGACGAGCACAGTCCACCAGCCGGGATGCTAGACACTGCAGCAAACGCGCAGACGCCGACTCTGTTTCCATGTCAGCGATAGGGACAGTAGCTGATAGATGGAGAAGTGTATTGGCGCAGGACCGAAGGGCCTTTAGAGCCATCCGGTAAGTGATGCCTGATTTCTGAATGGAGGAGGGGGAGTTTTAATAAATTCTGTGGAACTAGAAGAAACACTGATGGAACCGGTTCGAAAAGTTACCAAAAAGGCATTGATAGACAGGATTGTTCTAAACAGAACCAAATGCTTTACTTCATCAATTCTTTACTCGAGAGAAGCGTCACATGAGGAAGGCTCTTATTAGATCGCCAGAATCATTAAACATTCACCTCAATTGACTGAAAATATGTCCCTCAAGTAAATAAGATAGTTACTTCGGAGGCCAAAAGATCGTCAAGGCCACAGATGAGACGGCAGATCTGCAGATGCTGATGAGCATCCAGACTGGACGTTGGTTGAATCAAAATGTGTGTTGCGATGGAATGAAGAAGATTTCCTGCGAGGAGACATGCATTGCCTCGCACCTGGGGATCACTGTGGTGCATTAAGTGAAGAGCCATTTCAACTAAAACAGAAAGTCATAAGGAGGAATGTGAGCCCGGGTTAAAAGGACTAAACTTCGCTTACTTCCAGTAACCACATTTGCTTCATTGCCCTCCTCTTCTGAGGACTGAGAAGCCGCTGGCAGAGGTTCAAAAAACAATCTCGGAGAAAGCGTAAGCGCCAGTTTCGCTAAACACGCTACCGCCAGTGACTGCGCAGCAGCACGAGTCATCGATGGCGCGCCCGACAGAAGGCCAAATCGGTGAGCAAAGACGGCCAAAAAACTGTGCATCGAGGAAGTAGCGAAGATCTCATTTTCATCCTCAGATTCTGTCCCATCAGGCGTATCGGCCTTTGGAGCTAGTGTTGAAATAAAATTTGGTCATAGAAAAGTGAGGCAAATTAACTCACATAGAATATCTTCAGGCGGTGCTTCTGTTTCTCGCTGACCTGCAAGTAAAGAAACAAATGTCTACTTAAGCGAATATAACAAAAAGCAAAGTGGTAAGCGATCGGAATGCACACCAGGTGTCGAGAGCTCAGTGGGAAGGAGATTTCGCTTTATAAGAGACAGTTTCTCGCCTCTACTCTCGATGATAGTAGAAGTAAGTGGCATTGCAGATTGAGAAGTTACTGAACTACCATCGTCCGCGTCGGAGGCATCTACCGCTGTAATGCAAATCAAAAGGAGCCATTAATGGGTGTGCCCATCTTTGATTTTCTGTCGAAATTATTCTTTTGAACACTTCGTGAACAAGGAATGGCAAGACAAAAGATCATTTGTTTCGGTAGACGGTCCTAACTTCAAGTTCCCTTCCATACCACCTACACGAGTCGTAGTCGTCCAGGTGAAGAAGTGCTGACGGTGAATGAGGTCTTTGCTTGTCACAAAAGATTTGCAAAGCCTCCTGAAATCCATCAGGGAGTTTTGTGGGAGGATGGCCAGCAGGTGTTGATGAGAGTACTTCCAGAAGACACTCCAACGCGGCTGTGCAAACCATCACAGCTGATGAAGCAGATATGGACGACAACGTGGATTGATATTTTCGGCAAGCCAACTGCAGGCAGAGGAGACGCACCACACTCCACCAAAAAAACTCCAAAGTTTCGCGAGCCCAATTCCCAAAATCTATAGTCCCTAAGCCCAGGGCGACCAGTGGAGCAGATAAATAGGTGGAAGGTGAAGGTCGACCTTGAAAATGTGTTAACAACGGAGAATATAATGACATAAAATCAGTAGTGTTAGTTGATCAAAAGACCTCCTGAGTAATTTCTTCGTTATTATTCGTTAGGTGGTTCACTGTGACGATCCTGAGCTAAACAACAGAAAATGGTATCAAAATCTACGAAAAACAAACATGCCAATATCGTGATGTACAACTATACTGGGATCCAAAATTCTGCCTCACAAGCGGGTCGCATCTAACTGGTTACGTGATGATGGTTTAAAAGTACGCGAAAAGACGTGGTGTTCACATTCCACATCTTAGATCAGCGGTGAGTCGGTGCTAGTCTCCAAGCCATTTCCTGTACTTAGAGATCTTGTTGACGCTTTGGATATAGTTGAGAGCAGTTTTCACCCCATTAAAAGAATAGAAAAACTGGCACAAAATTACCCCATTCTACTTAATCGGCATTTAAGTAGACGCCCCTATTCATAAAGGAAAAAAATTAAAGGCACTCCAAAGTTATTTCTCTCCACTGCGTATACCTTTGGCTTTAGTGCGCCCATTCACCAACACAGTTGTCGGGATTCGCGAATAGAG